ATCGGGCTCCCTGCTCTGCGGGAAGCCTGCTTCTCCCTCTCCCACTCCCCCTGCTTGTGTTCCCCCTCTCGCTGTGTCTCTCTCCGTCAAATAAATAATAAAAATCTTTGAAAAAAATTTTAAGAGACAGAGAAAGAAGGGGTAAAGTAGACATGAAAAAATCTTTGTATCTGAGTGATGGTACATGGGAGTTCATTATACTACTTTCCTTTTAGGGACATTTGAAATTTTCATCATGAAAAGAAAGTTTTAATGGACCCGTGGCCATCATTAGTTCTTGAATTCTCCTGATACCACCTGGGTCTAGATCCTTCAGGCTGACCTCCCTGAGCCACTCTTTCTAATCCTGTGTGGCTTTCCTCAAATGCTATTTTTATCATACTACTTTCTTGCTCAGAAACCACGAATATTCCCCTTTGGTCTGTCATGACAGACCCAAATTGCACTGCGCTATTTTCAGATGCACCCATGATTTGGGTCTAGCCTTCCCAATCTGATTTCATAGTAAGTCTCCACAGAGGCCAGGCCAGACTCCTCTGGGCTCTATAAGTCCTCTTCATTTAGAAAGCCCTCTCCCTTCTTTTGCCCAGTCAGACCAGACCTAGGCTTAAGCCCCACCTTTCCCATAAAAGCTTGACCAATTACTCAAAGCTTTACTAAATCTCTTTCTCTGAATGTGCAAAACGTGTCTATCAAGGGGGGACCACATAATTTAACAATTGTGTGGAGTTGTTTGTTAAACATGTTATTTTTTGGATCCCTCCCCCACCCCAAAGAGATCACAAAGTTCTCACATATAAAGTAGACCATGTCTTATACTTTGTTTTTGACCCCTCCACACCACCAAGTAGCACACTGCATGTTGTAGGCACCCAATAAATATTTTACGATTGGCAGGAGGATCTCTGGCTTCAAAATAAGAAAATGGTTCCCAATTAGCTTCAAGTTATTGCCAGGACTACATGTCTTCATTCCATCAGTATTTACTGGGTTCTGACTATATGCTGGGCTGTACTGCGTTCTCTGTCTAGGCACCTGAGATCCACCAGCTTCTAGCCTATGTTGTTGGCACTTTGCTCATAGTCCCCTCAAGACACTACAGGTCCCTTGCATACAGTTCTCTTACAAGCAACTTCTTGCATCTCTCTTAGGGTGTTCACTGGCCAAGGAAGCCTTCTCCAGAGTTGCAGAGGTAGTGTTAGGGAGTTAATTCACCTAGACTGACCCTCAACTGATGAGGGATGGGATATGATGGACAAAAATGCCCCAGCTTCCACGACTTGCAGTGAGACAATTCTGAAGCATGCTCTAGACAGTCAGAGGGCTCCTCAAAGGACTGAGCCTCAGCTCCCCAAAGCAGCAACCCAATCATCAATTTACCCTTTTCTTGGCTTTTCTTCCCTACCCTGTTTCATTTCCCCACTGAGTTTGTTCCTCAGTGAGTTTCCTGGGATCTACTCCAAAGTAAACAACTTGCTCCAAATCTTTTTCTCAAGGTCTAATGAAAACGACAGTGATCAAGATAGCCAAGGTCTCTGCTCTTATGGAGCACACATTTCTGCATTCAAACTATTTAGACCTTCCTGCACCTGTGCATGCATCCATGGAGTTCTGTCAGGCGCTGACTCCCTGCTTTCGTGTGCAAGGCATCCACATTTTGGGTCACCAACCAGTATAGCTTTCCGAGTCTCTCCCAGTTGCTCAGAGCCCAATGTGCAGGGTTTGGCTGGAGGGAGGAGAACCGAGGCCAGCCTACAAAGTTTCTCGCCCAGTACCGCTGGCGGATTGGAGCACTCCGTAGAAAATCCCCATGCTGAATGGGTTTCTGGTCAGTGCGGGCATAGAGTCCCACCTTTTCTGACCTGTAGTCTGGGATCCCCGACTCAGTGGAGATTCCTGCCCCAGTCATCACTAGGAGTCTCTTGGAAAGAGTGATGAAGCGCTGTAACTCTTTGACCTTCTCAGGGTCCCGAGGAGGACTTGGTGGCACAAATAATCCAATGGATCCATGTGAGCACTGCCGGCTGATATTCACCATCCAGTGGCCTTTTGCTGCCCTGAAAGTCAACCCAAAACTCATCCTCATTCTAGAGAGAAAGAAACCTGATATGAGAAACCAGATTTTAAAAACTAAAGCAACCAGGGGCACCTGGGTGGCTCAGTCGTTAAGCGTCTGCCTTCGGCTCAGGTCACAGTCCCAGGGTCCTGGGATTTAGTCCCACGTTGGGCTCCCTGCTCAGCGGGAAGCCTGCTTCTCCCTCTCCCACTCCCCAGGCTTGTGTTCCCTCGCTCGCTGTGTCTCGCTCTCTGTCAAATAAATAAAACCTTTAAAAAAATAAAAAATTTCTTATAAACTTCAAAATATTAATCGTCTACTCCCAATATCTTTTAAATCCCTTAATAGCTCATTGTTATTCTATGACTACATCTAAAGACGTCTCCATTGGAGGACTGCCTTTATAATTTTAGTTACTACCATCCCTTGGGAGACCGTGTGTTCCATAAACCTACTTCCCATTTTATAAATCAGAAGTATTTCTTCATAAACTAAAGAGCACATTTGAATTCTGGTATGCCAGGTGTTGATGAGGTCGTTGCTCAGACATTTCAGACTTATGATTTTTATGGCTTTTTATTTATTAATGTAACTAAGCACATGCACATCTTTTATTCCATCTTTCCCATATTCTTTTAGTTTACCCTCAATCGCAAACACTGCTACTTGGACACAGCAGAATAGTGAGGCCTGGCACGACATTCTACCCCAACCTTCTAGCTGTAAAAACAAGGCTTTGACATATTACTTAACATAATGCAGAAATTCTCTAGTGATACGCACCCCTTATGTAAACATTACCTTATGCTTGGCTTTCCATTTCTAGGTTAGGACCCCGATTTCTCTAGACATTTCACAGCAACACCTGAACCGCTAAACAAATACAGACTGGACTCCTGAGACCAAAGGGCTCGGGACACCCCGCTGAAAACACGCTCTATTGGAACAGCAGCTCTCTGCCAGGTACCACCAAACGGTAAAGAGTTAATACGGTATCGGGGCGCCTGGGTGGCTCATTCGTTAAGCGACTGCCTTCAGCTCAGGTCGTGATCCCAGGGTCCTGGGATCGAGCCCCACCTCGGGCTCCCTGCTCCGCGGGAAGCCTGCTTCTCCCTCTCCCTCTCCCCCTGCTTGTGTTCCTTCTCTCGCTGTGTCTTTCTCTCTGTCAAATAAATAAATAAAATCTAAAAAAAACCAAAAACATGTAAATGGATATAAAAAAAAGAGTTAATACGGTATCTCTTACAGCAAATCCACAACTTCTAGAAACCTGCAGCCCACATAGAGCACACTCACCTTTCACAGCTTAAACGACACTTTACGACTGACGGTGCAACTGACTAGCTGCTTTTGCATTTGGGGAAATGTAGTTCACGAGGCTGAAATGATGCATGAAAAACTACAAATCCCACAATCCTCTGGGCTTCACAGTTGAGGGGCCCAGATTGTCTGGTAGCGCCACCTGTCTGCCTTTCATGGTCAGAAGTTTTGAACCTTGGTTGGAGATGGGCCGCTGTCTTCTAAACTCGCATGCCGTGTCCACTTGAGAGAAGTGGTTCGAGTTTCCACACCAGTGTGCTCAGTGCAAATAGTACATCCAAACAGCACTAAGTAAGGAATTCATTGTTAAGAGAGAAGCTTTAATAATGGATCTAGAATAGGCTCATACTCAACTTCACTGATTATGATCCTTTGCGCTCACCATGAGGAAATCAAGTTCCCACCTTGCAGTGGGTTGTGAACAAACATCAGAAATACTGATGTTTTTGGGGGCGCCTGGGTGGCTCAGTCGGTTAAGCGGCTGCCTTCGGCTCAGGTCATAATCCCAGGGTCCTGGGATCGAGCCCCGCATCGGACTCCCTGCTCAGCGGGGAGCCTGCTTCTCCCTCTCCCTCTGCCTGCCTCTCTGCCTACTTGTTCTCTCTCTGTATCTCCCTGCCAAATAAATAAATAAAATCTTTAAAAAAAAAAAAGAAATATTGATGTTTTTGGAGTTTATGTGAACAACTAACGCCACATATAATATACAGGGAATAATGTGTTTACCAGGGCGCCTGGGTGGCTCAGTTGGTTGAGCGACTGCCTTCGGCTCGGGTCGTGATCCTGAAGTCCCGGGATCGAGTCCCACATCGGGCTCCCTGCTCTGCGGGAAGCCTGCTTCTCCCTCTCCCACTCCCCCTGCTTGTGTTCCCTCTCTCGCTGTGTCTCTCTCTCTGTCAAATAAATAAATAAAATCTTTAAAAAAAAATAATAATGTGTTTACCCACTTGGCTGCTCCAATTTTATTTCTCATTTTGTGTTTTTATTGAATTAACCAACACAGTGCCTTCCCAGACATTCTGACTTAATTGGTCTGAGGAAATGCCTGGGCATCAAGTCAGTTTACAAACTTCTCAGTTGTTTCTAATATGTAGACAAACAGAAACTTTGCTCTCTAGCCTCACCTAAATAAGATATCAATCAATTTGTGTTTAGAACATAACCAAAGGCCAGCTAACCCAGACCTTGAAGAACACCTAAGGAACCACTTCCCCCATTTTAAGATAAACTGAAGCCCAGAAGTACTGTATTATAGAAGCTGGAGTCAACGTTTGACTCCTGGTCCTCTCATTGAATGTGTGGAGGTAAATATTGGTAAAGTCACCCAGTTTAGTAGTTGTGGGTAGGACACTAGGACACCCAGCAACAGCTCAGATAGGTCACCCTGCTGGGATAATCACCTGACATGATAGCTTTTTGTGCCTTAGTTAACTTGACCACACTGGCTGAAAGAAAGGACCAAAATGTAGCCTGGAAATTTTTACTAAGTCAAAAGAATTGTAATCAGGAACATTTTCTGCACTTATGGGTATTTGACCAAAACCTATTGAAATGGCAAAACACTGACATTCCCCCAGCCAAATTTTATTATGAAAAATTTCCAACCTGTATTGTTTTTTCAGTTTGCCAAGTGGAATGAGCATCATTAATTGAGAGACTGCCTAATACAGGGCTATTGTGCTTTTAGGCCCCAAAGAATCTCATGTTCCAGGGAGAAGTTAGCTGACTTTTCAATTCTTCTTAGTGCTGGAAAGTCATCCGTGGAGGATGAAGTCATCCAAGGCAGCTGGTGAAACACACAATTTCACCACACCAGGAATTAATGACTAAGTCTTTGATTGGACCAAAGTAATCTAAAATCAAGTTGCTAATCTTTTTTTCCGCTAATTTTTCTTACCCTGTGGGAAAAAAATTAGCTACACATCAACATCCAAAAGGACTTTTAAAGATGTCATTTTTGCATCTAGATGATGACTATGTTTACTGAATAACACTTTGAACATTTTTGAATTTTTTGAAATTTTGAAAAAAATTTTTTAAAGATTTTATTTTTAGGGGTTCCTGGGTGGCTCAGTTGGTTAAGTGGCCAACTCTTGATCTCAGCTCAGGTCTTGATCTCAGGGTTGTGGGTTCAAGCCCTGTGTTGGGCTCCATGCTGGGCGTGGAGCCTACTTAAAAAAAGGGGGGGTGCCTGGGTGGCTCAGTACTTAAGCGTCTGCCTTCAGCTCAGGTCATGATCCCAGAGTTCTGGGATCGAGTCCTGGGATTGAGTTCTACATC